AGTTTTGATAATGAGAATTAGGAATACACTCCATGAAATAGAGATATTAATATCTAAACACTTAAACAAGTACATTGAAGGGATCAATAAACTGTTAGATGAGTAGAATAAATGGTCCATCAAATCCAAAATAAAATAATGAAATAAAAATGTCTGTGATGGTGTTACATGCAAAGGATGAAATTGTAGAAAAATAAAAGACCAAGTAAAGTGGTTAAAACAATAACTGTTGAAAAGATAAGAGAAGGAACAAGCAAAAAAGAAAATGAACCAATTAACAAAAGATTACAATTGAAACCAAATTGAAATAAACACTTCACCGATGTTTATTCATAATTTAATGATAGAAGACATTCTTGAAAACATTCAACACAAAACCAAGCAAATAGAAAATTAATTAGAGGAATAATAGAAGAAGAAATAGGAGAGTATTTGGTTCAACTTGAAAAACAAAGAAAATTGTTAAATGAATCAAGAAATAAAATAACTGATAATCCTACGATAATGAGTGATAAAAGAAGTTATATTATAACAAAAGAAGTAAAATACAATGACTATAAAATACCACAAGAAACAGAAATTCAGAAACTAGAAGGAATGGACATCAAGAAAAGTATCAAATATACTATTTGATTCAGATATTGATGATTGGAATGAAGATACATCAGTATTTGATCAAAGAATAATAAATAAAGAACATATAATAATTATTATTGAAGACACAAATGGAAATAAATTTGGAGGACATGTTAATAAGAAAATTGATAAATTTGGTTATTGGATAAATGATCCAAAATCATTTTTATTTTCATTAGAGTCAAAAGGATGAATAAAAGGAATGAATAAATTTGATATTAAAAAACCACATTGTGCATTTTGTTTATCCAATCATTCAAGTGATTATTTGTTTAGATTTGGATATAATGGAAATGATGTTTTTGTTTATAAACGAAATAATAAAACATATTCATATTGTAATCAATGTTCATATGAATATAAGGAATATCAAATGCATTTTGTGGAAAACAATGGCCAGAATATTTCACACCAAAACGAATCATTGTAATTGAAATGAAATAATTTTTATTCATTATTATTTATTTGAAATATAAAAAAGAATATAAAATAAAATCAGTAAATGAATATGAACATTTTATTTATCAATCATTGAAATAGTGAATATAAAAATGATCATATTATTATTTTATTTCATTTGAAATATTCACATTCGTTGTGTTATTTTATTAAATAATAAGAATGAATGAAATTTAATCAAATATGATTTAATAATAATTTGTATTTCATCATGTTGAGAATTAAATAAATTAATTTATTCAATATTCTTTATTTCTAATGAATTAAAGTATTTTCAATCATTTTCAATTGAAATGTTTCATTTAATTTGTTGTTTGTATTTTAATTTAAAATTAATGATATTGAAATTGGTTATTGTTTACATTGTTATTTTAAGAAGAATACATCAATATCATTATGGTTGTGTTTCATCTTTATTAATATCAATAACTATCAGTAGAATCAATTTAATTATTGATAATATTTCATATCCAATTTTAAACTATCATTAATAAATAATATTTCATCATAATAAACAACAACTATTTGAATCAAATAACATTCTTCAATATTCAATCATACCATTTCTTAATAAAACAATCAACAGAAACTATTATAATATTGAGTGTTGAATATCTTACTAAATATATTTTTATTATCAGATGATAAATGATGATTTAAATTTTGATTTCATTTTAATGATAGTGTGTGGTGTTTCTAACATAAACCTTCAAATAAAATATAAAAAACAAAAATAAAAAATCACAAGATAATCTTAAAAATATTTTAAGTTCAAGTTTAAATGAAGGAATGAGAATAAGGAATAATGAAATAATGATAGTTTCAATATATTTTAATGTTATTAAAAATTTTATTAACTTAGAAATTGGAGTTAAAAGGTTTAGAGGAAATATGGAATGATTTCATTTTAATCCAGTTCCTTTAAATCATTATCCAAGAAAATTCTTTTCTAATACTGAAACATTTCATATTTATCCTGAAAACAATATGGCTTTTGAAGATGGAAGAATACTTAAATTTGTAATATGGTGTACAGTAGAATATTTAAGATATTTAAAAGAAAAAGAAGAATTGAAATCATGTAAAGATATAGAATACAAAAAAATATGATAGAAAAGCATATGGAAACACAATACCACTAGAAGTTAACTCACTTGGTTATCATTGTTTTGAACACTGTGATACAACATTAACATCAGTTACTAGATCAACAAGTGTTAGTAGAATAGGATATTATTATTTTTAGATATATAGTGCATTAAGCAGTATTAATATACAACCTACACAATAAAATAAGAAATGGGTTTGATGTTGTACAAGACTAACTTCAATTAGTTTATCAAAGACATTAAAAAGTTGTTATTTATTGTTTTGATGAATGCACATCATTAAAACCAATTATTTAGATAATCACCAATTTGTTAGTAAAGAAAGGACTACTATGAATGCATTGATTTGGTTGTATTGGAGTAACAAAAAATAGAAATGATAATGAAGATGAGATTAACGTTAAAGGTTTAATGAATTTAGAATTCCAACGAAATTAAAGAAATTCAAAATGATTATTTTAAAGGAGGTTCATTACTAACACCAATTATTTCCACAGTCAATTCCTTAATTTAAAGATGATGTTTTTATGGATCTGAACTAAGTGAAATAAAACAATTTTGAGAGAGAATGAAAGAATACTGAAAGGTTGTTTTAAAAAATAATTTGGGGAAATAACAAAGAATAAAACAAAGTAAAGAAGTAAAAAAGTATTTAATGAATATTATTTTCATGGTCATTTAGTTTATTTTGAATGAGTTAAAATACTTCTATGAGATTTATATTACTGAAATAACAATTAAATTATTTTTAAACTTAAAAATGAAAGAAATGCACAGAGAGAAAAGAAAGAGATTTTTCATTGTTCACAAATTAATGACAACTTCACTTTTAATTTTGATGCAAATTAATATTTTGTTCAATACCTTAGTAACCGAAACAAACAGAATTTGTTTAACTGAATGAAATTGAATTTACTGAAAATTTTCATCTATTATTTATTCTAAAGAAACAAACAGTTTAACCATGTCTTGAAATAATCATAACCATCTCATTATTTATCATCATAATTATAATAAAAAGAAAATTAATTGAATATAAGCATAATTATATAATACAATTATAATGTTTAATTAATTATTACGAGAAAAAACAATGTAAATGAAGAGGTATAAAAGAAAAATATAGAATATCAGTATGATAAAAATGATGAAAATGAATAAGAACTGAAATTAGAAGAGGGTGATAAATTATATGGTAAGAGAACTAACAAAAAAAGATTTAATGAAACGTATATAATAAGTTGAAATTAAATAGTGTAAATATCTATTTAATAAATACAATAAATATGAAATGATAAGAAATTAACAATTAAAATAATGATATTAATATGAAAAGAATACAAGTAATTAAAATAACTCATTAATTATGTGAAATAATATTCTGAAGTGGTGAATTTTTTGTATGATAAAATTTCAATAATTGAACATATATGATTAAATTATATTGTAAATAAGAACACACAAATTGATAAATATGATTTAATAATGAATATACATGTATATTGAGAATAACTAAATTGAAATATAAAATAAATATAACAAAAAAAGATGAAACAGAGAGAACGAAATAGAAAATAAAACCTTTATTATTTTTTTATTTTTTATAATAAAATATATAACTATGTTTTGAATATATCATTTTTGTTTCTCCACTTTCTTCTTTAATTAAATCTTTTATTTCTATTCTTTCTCTTGATTTTTTATTTTGTAAGTTATTTGATTATTCTAATGATTAGTATTATTTGTTTATTAATAATTATTGAATTTAAATAATAACAATATGTTTTCAGAATGAAATAGCACCTATTAATAAAATGTGAATATGTGAATTCATCAACAATTCATTTAATTTAAGAATGAGTGGCAATTCATTAGCAATAAAGAATAATAATGAAATTGTTTTATTCAATTTTCAACATGATGAAATACTAATTATTAATTATTTCTTATTTGTTTATTCTTCTAATTTTTATTTTATTTTCTTTTGTCATTATTTCTATTCTTTTATTCTTATTTCTTGTATGTGTTTATGGTCATGAATGTTCTAATGAAATAATGATAGAACATAAGTGGTCAACAACAAAATGATATGACGTGGTTTGTTATTATTTCATCTGAATAAAAAAATATAATTTTCATTTTTTATTTTATCTCTAATTTATTATTCTTTTTATCTTTATTCATTTCTCTTTTCTTTCTTATTCATTACACACTTTATTTTATTAATATTTCTTATAATAAGTGAACAATTTAATATAAAGAAATGAAGATAATCTTAATTAATATAATTGTTTGATAAAGATGATATTGAATAAATAATAAAATTGATGGTTTAATCATTTATTGTTGATTAGTATTCTTTTATTTTTCATTCTTTTAATATAGTTAATCAATAAAAATAATATCATATTCAAATTAATTTGTAATTGATTTTTAAATGTTTATATTCTTTTTTTATCATTTTATTGTTTATTTCTATTTTATTTCTTATACTTTATTTTAAATTATATTTGATTTATATTCATTTAATATTTTCATTGTTGATTATGATTTATTTGTTATTTATTGTAATTCTTTTTATTTATTCTTTATTTTTATTGTTTGTTCTTATTTCTATTTATTTTTTCAATTACTTTATTCACTCTCTTCTTCTTTATTTATTGTTTATCATTACTCTCTTATTCTATTCTCTTTCTTTATTTATTTTTATTCTTTTCATTTTTATTTTTATCTTAGTTTTTCATTATTCTTTTCTCAAAATAAACCATCAAATATAACCATTATTCATTCTCTCAATTAAGCTATGCCACATACATCATGATACAATTCCCTAATCATCATTTTCTTCTGCAATTTTTCTGGACATCCATTAAAACACAAAGGGTCTATTCTACTAACTGATGATGGTATATTAATTCCTGTTAATGATGAACAGTCACCAAAACACATCATCCCTATTTCTCTAACAGAGTTTGGTATATTAACTGATTCTAATGATGTACATCCTTTAAAACAAAAATCTCCTAATTTACTAATTGATGATGGTACACTAAAATATTCTAATGAAACACATTCAAAAAAACAACTATCTCCTATTTCACTGACTGATGTTGGTATAGTAATATATTTTAATGATGAACACCCCCAAAAACACCAACTTCCTATTTTAGTGACTGTTGTTGGTATAGTAAATGATGTTAATGAAGTACATCCACTAAAACAATCACTTCCGATTTTAGTGACTGTTGTTGGTACAGTAAATGATGTTAACGATTTACATCCATCAAAACAACTACTTCCGATTTTAGTGACTGTTGTTGGTACAGTAAATGACGTTAATGATGAACATCCACTAAAACACCAATCTCCTATTTTAGTGACTGTTGTTGGTATAGTAAATGATGTTAATGACGTACATCCATCAAAACATCCAGTTCCTAATTCTTTAATTGATGGTGGTATATCAATTAATGTTAATGATGAACAATAACTAAAACAGTAATCTGGTATTATGCTAATTGATGTTGGTATTTCAATACTTCTTAATGATGAACATCCGCTAAAACAATTATTTCCAAGTTCTTTAATTGAAGTAGATATATTAATTTTCTTTAATTTGAAACAGTTCTTAAAACATTTATTTCCTATTGATATAATTGAAATTGGGATTTTAATATACACAAGTGACGTACATCCACTAAAACATTCATGTTTTATTTCACTGATTGTTGATGGTATATTAATTGTTACTAATGATGAACATCCTTTAAAACTTCCATTTCCTATTTCAGTTACTCTTGTTGGGATATTAACACATGTCAATCCCGTACATTCTTTAAAACAACTCTCACCTATCCATTCTATACTTGTTGGTATATTAATTTCAACAAGATCAGTACTTCCTTCAAAACATTCATCATCAATTCCATTATATTTTTCTAATTTTGATAAACCATATTGTTTTCTGTCTTCACTTGTAAATATCTTACTCATTGATATATTACAGTTATTTTCAAATGTTTAAATACTGATGAATGAAGAATTAATAACCTTCTTTATTATTCCAGTGATGTTTATTATTTTTATTAATACTTAATCTCAACACTAAATTTAAATTAAAATAACATTGACATTAATAATGGAATATTGTAAGTCATTATTTTTATATTATAATAAGATTCTATCGTTTTATGAAAAATATCAACAACCCTTGTCGTTTTCTATTGACACGAATGATGTTTGTATTTTATTTCTTTTTCTTGTTTGTGTTTCTTTATATTTTTTATTACCCCCTTTTTATATTTTCTAAAAATTGTTAATGTTTAATTTGTTAAAAATGATAGAATTATCTTTTTATCATTGTAACGTTCTTTTATTTTTATTATTTTCTTCACTTATTATTTTTTTTTATTTGTTTATAGTGTTATAATTATTATATTACTAGTTCAATATTCTCCATTGCATACTTTCTAATATCAATTCTTGTGAATATGATTAATTATTATTCTTTTTGTATTTGATTTATTTCAATTTATATAAAATTTTCTATTTGTTATTTATTTTGTTCATTTAAATCTTATTCTAACATATTTTATGAATTATTTTTGTTAATACCTTAATATTCATTAATTTAAATTTACAATAAAAACATTATATTTTTAAATAAATATTTATCTATAAATTTATTCTAATTATTTTTATTAAATTCTTCATTAAATCAATTATTATTATATTTCTTTTATTCATTTCTTTTATTTGAAGTAATTTATTCTTTATCATTATAATATCTATTATTTTTATATTTATTTATCTCTTTATTACTTATTATTTTCTTTATTCTCATTCATTTGTTATATTTATCATATATCATGTTAATGTATTTTATATCTATTATAAATAAACAACTTTATCAATTCATTTAATGAAATGAATTATTTAATTGTTAAATTGTTTATTATATTGTTAATTCTTTTAATTTTATTATTTAAATGAACATTATCTCTTATTTCATTTATATTCAATTAATATTATAATTTATTGTTGTTTATTATATAATAATCAGAAATATTAATTATTCATATTTAATGAATATATCTTTCTAAATTTATTTTTGAATAATAAATTATCATTTCATTTATTTCATTTCATATTTTATATTCTAATGAATATTGTATATTAAAAATAACATTTTACATTTTCTTCTTCTCATAATATAAATTTAATTATTATATTTTGTTTTATGTTTAGATTATATGAATATTTTAATTAATACAAAACACAGTTCATTCTTTCAACATTTTCAATTGTAAATTAATTTTTTACATTTTACCAATATTTAATTTATTATTTTATCAAATGATAAATTAGAAATATTTATAAAATAAAATTACATATTTATATTTACCCCCTTTTTATTTATTTCTTGTTATTGTTAAAATTGTATGAAATGTTTTATAATTAAATATTCATTCTTTTAAATTAAAAGAATAACAAATTACGTTAACACACCTCTCCTATTAATTCAATGTCACAATAAAATATAATTATTAATTATTTACATAACATTCATTAATTTTATTTTCAAAAATCATGTTAAAACATTTATAAAAGTAAATAAAATAAATGGTTATTAATTTCATTATTCTTATTTGTTAGTATTTGAATTTGTTTGATTATTTATTTTGTTTTGATTATAATGAATTTGATTTATATTCTGATTACTTTGTTGTTTTTTAGTA